CAAAACTCACAGGTCCATGTCATGTACGTGTATGAAGGATGACTACAAAAGTTTTATTGATGTTTCAAAGTAGCTTTATTTAAACTTCAAAGGCAGCTAATAATAAAAAGAAAAAGGGTAAAAACCATGCCATGCTCGTTGTCCTCACACTACAGGAAGTACGTCAAAATAAAAATGTTGTCTGTCATTACCTGTGAAGAAACACTGCTAAAGTCCTGCATGGCTTGTCCTGGTTGTGTGTGTGTGTGGGGGTGGTGGGGGGTGGGGGGTGGTGGATGAGACGTGAACACTGGGACACTTTGCATAGAGCTAAAAGGTGACAAAGGCAAGCCTCTGCATTCAGCAGCTCTTAAAGACAGAGGACAGAAGGTGTGAGTCTGTGGTTATCTGCCAAATACCAGCCTCAAATGTACAGAAGCAAATCAGTCTCACAAGTATACGCAGTACACGCAGTATGCAGTATATACATCATATTTGAATATCTGGCCTTAGAAATCAATTTTCAGTTAACCTATTTTCAATTATATTTTTCAGGGTCAAAAAATACAATATTATTTTCTCAGTGTCAGAAAATTCATTTTATTTATTTTTTTCAACAAAACATAGTATTCTTTCAGTTATATATATATATATATAAAAAAATCTGTCAAAATTGTATGTTTTTAAAATTTAGAAAGAAATATAATTTGAAATATTTATTTTTGACTGATAATTGATTTGACCAAAGGAGCAGGGTTTGACTGGTGGACCTCATTCAGCGATGCCTGCTCGTCCTTGTGTTCGGCACCGAAACTACATTTCTACACAGCAAATGTTACATGTCCCATTATAAAACCTGAGTACTGCATTATACACCCAGAGTACTGCATTATACACCCAGAGTATTGCATACAGCACATTATACACCCATCAACAAACTATTATACAACAATCCATAGCAATGGTCCTGGACAAACAACAACCTTGTATAACATTTGACTTTGATTTGTGACCTTGAATGTATACATACTTGCGTGTATATATACAGTGAGGAAAATAAGTATTTAAACACCCTGCGACTTTGCACGTTCTCCCACTTAGAAATCATGGAGGGG